AGAACAATGTTACAATATGAACACCTACCAGATAATTACATAAAACATTGTCGATATGATGAAATGCCGTACAGAAAGAAGTGCTCGTGTACATTACACTTGCAGGAGGTGTTCAGCCACAGAAACCCACATCATGAAGTTACGAGCGCACTGTTTTGCGCTGATGTTAATGCCAGAGGAGGTTTGGAGCTCTGCAGTTATTGAGTCAGCACAGTGTTGGCAACTTTTACACACTATGCACCACAACACTGACAAATGATACTTTTGATGATAGAGGATTTTAATGAAAGGCTTCTAAATGAGATGAGGCTCCATGGTTTCTACATTTTGAAGGTTTCATGTTAACATTTTGGCCTTGTTGGTTTTGTAAATACTAGTTTCACCAACCGAAACTGAAGCAAACATTTACACACAACCCAGCAAAAGGTGACAGTTAGCAGACAGCCGTCCGCTACAGCTGCTTGTAACAGTACATCAATCGATCAAAGCACCCACGCCCTGATTTTAAGCTGCATCATCAAAATAGGTGAATTTTAAACAAATCACACGGTTATTATGAAGGGGGGAATTAGCTAATTCTTTGTACTAGGCTGTAAACATGCTATTTTCACAAGGTGTTCATGTTAACTGTTGAGTTTATGGGCAGTGGTTCACTTTTGGAGCCTGCCTCAAGTGGCTATAAGAGGAACTGCAGTTTGTGCCACATCTGAGTTGCTTTCATTTTTCGACCGCAAGTTGAAGTCTCTTCAAAAGTGAAATAAACTGATAATTAATACTAAGAGTTATAGTCTATACTCATAGTTGGCTCATCATAAATTCTATTGTCATGGGTTGAAAGCATGTGAATCTATGGTGAGGAGAGACATTTTCTCCTTTTCCTACTTAGTTAAGACACAACAGTGCTCAGTAGCTGCAGCTCCTCTGGTGTTGTGTGTCTTGTGGCGGCATGGTGTGCGTCTCTCTCCGTTGTACCAGCCGCCGGATTTATAAAATGGTTTCAGGCCCTGTCAAGTGCCCAATAAACCACTTTTACTATTAGTGTAGGACACAGCTAGCATACAGCTGCTGACCACTGACCATACACATCCGCATACGCTGACACACTGAGGCTGACATGCTCACACACGTACGAGCGCACAGACAAGCGGGGCCAGTCACATACTTGCTGGTCAGACACATTTTTAGGGCTGCTGGAGTCGGGATCTGAGCCAAGCTCTAACCCCATCTCACTCCACCCTGTTGCCCCGAATGACATCATGTCATATCCTGAACCGTCGACTCAGAAGGGCCAAACACACACACACACACACACACACACACACACACACACACACACACACACACACACGCACTGCCTTCACCTTGTAGTACAGAACTTTTTGGAGCATCAGCCTTATTAAAAACTACAGCATTAATAAGTAATTTTTAAAACACTGTACCGCAGTGCAAACGATGCATGTAGCCACGGTAAGGTCCTCCTGTCCTGTTTTTAAAGTTTTCTCACCGTCACCATTTGAATTTTCTGCACGATATGACCTGAAACTAGTGCCTGGGGGCGCAAATACATCAGGAAATTACTCACTGAGGTCACAGATAAATGGCTGTTTTTCAATGGTCTTTTTGCAAGCACAAGAGTCGCCCCCTGGTGTCCAATAAACAGAATGTAGGCTTCACTAAACAGACCTAGAAGTTGCGCGTCTTTTATGCTTATTGATTTTTTTTTTAAACCATACCTGAGCACATCGCATGACCGATATCATGCGATGTGCTCGTGAATAATAGCACTGTAATGTCATATTACAATCAGTCACAGCATGTCTGTGCATCATCCATGCAGCCCGGCTAGCTCAGTCGGTAGAGCATGAGACTCTTAATCTCAGGGTCGTGGGTTCGAGCCCCACGTTGGGCGTAAGATTTTTCTCAAGTCAATGGAAAAACATGTACTTCCGTGAGATCATGTGCACACAGCTAATGTGGCAAATCATGCTAATCTGCATTTCACACCTCTCATAAATGAGGAATTTTGGGATGACAAAATAGTTTTTGCTAATATTTTATAGGGCATTTATTTTACAAAACAAAGCAACTTTGTTAAAAAAAAAATGTGTCGCTCGGTTCGCGACACAATTCGTTTTTAAATTTTAAAAGAGTAAGTTGCAAACCTCTTCACTGAAATCAAAAATACATCAGGGGAGGACTGGAGGGTTACACACTGAGAAGAATTCCAAAGATTCAATACAGCCAATCAGAAATAAGAGTTTAAAACAGCAGCTCTTCAGCTAGAGAGCCGAAGAGGCCATCCTCTTCAAACTGACCACCATCTGTGTGTGAGAGAGAGTCCAACTTAGTCATTATGGCTCCTGGAAGGCTGAAATACACACACGTGTGTCACATAACACACTGAGTGCAGACAATCCATTCAAAAACTTAAATTTGATTATTTTCACTTTACATGAATCACATGTTTGAACAGCCACTTTAATGAAATATTCCCAATTCCTATTACTCATTCCCAAATCTACTGCTTCTGAGCACGTGGGACACACACAAACACACACAGACCTTCTTGAATGACCTTGAGGACCCATTTGTGCTTGCAGACAAGCCATCTTCTCAAATGTCTAGTGCGGAGACAAATACACATACTCACTTACTCCCCTTCCCTAATTACCGAGTCCCAGGGGATGAGACACTCAAGAGGCGCTTCAGTTAAAAAAAAAGGTCTTTCTCACCAGTTAGAGGGCAGACAGGCGGAGAGAGGTAAATGAATGAGAAGATGTTCAGAATACAGATTTGCTGGCACCCAAGTATATTTTAACTGCTCCACAGTTTCCACATGTTACTGTTGCATAAAATCGGGTGAGTCTAAAAGTCTGGTTCACTGCTCACCAAACCCAAACCAAACCCAAGTGGAGAACATGAAGAAAAGTAAGAATAGATGAGGCACGTGAAAAATGAAGGTCCTGAGTGAAACAGTGAGGGGGATGGAAGAGAAAGAACAGAAGTTGACTGAGACGGGAGGGCGGAGGAAGAGAGATTATCTCTCTCTAATGGCTAACTTGTTGACAGCAACACTTTTCAGCACCCCTATCTACACATCTAATGTTACTATCTATCCTGAAACACACACACACACACACACACACACACACACACACACACACACACACACACACACACACACACACACACACCACCTCTCCTCTTGCAAGGTTTATCAGCCCGGCTGTCGGCTCGGGCCACATTTCATGTGGGTTTCGGATTTTAAAACCATGAGAAACACAAAGTGAGCCGGAGACGTCACTGCCAGAGACGACCTCGACATTCTCTCAGCTCGTCTGCAGCCATAACATTGTCGAACATGAATCTGATCTGAGCCCGCTTTCAGATCCCAGGCAGACGGTTAAAAAAAACCTCATCATCCTCTGCTAGGTCACCTTCTTGCAAACATGTCTCGGTTACAACACCAAGCTGCATTTGTCACCAGTTAATTTAACTTGTCTTTATAAATGATAATAAACTGCTTTTGGCTGCTCCATTATTCACAAGGGGTCGCCACAGCGGATGGATGTGTCTGATTTGGCAGATTTTTTTAGGCTGGATGTCCTTCGTGACACAACCCCAAAGGTGGACATGTGAGAGTTTGAGGATTTATCCTCTCTCTTTTTCCTTTAAACAGAAATGTGCCACAATTGATTCTGCTGAAATATGAGTATGAATTTATTTCTGTTTTGTAAGGAATGAAAAAGACACATCAGCCTCAATAACACTGCTAGACTATACAGCTAAAGTTTAAGGAGTTTATTATGAGAGAACACTTAATGGATATTAAAGTTATCCATGAATTTGGGATGAAAGTGTATGTGAAGAACTAGACAATAAGGTTAACCCAGATGCTATTCTTTATGTTAAATGGTTTACTTTTCCCACTGTTAGTGGTCAACAGTCACCATAAAAACTTGAAAGTGCATAGGTCAGTGAGTGTCTCATTAACATGAACACACACAGAAACTTCTACATAAGGACACAATAATCTATATTATCAAGACATTTAAATACACTTTCATAGTGCTACGGAACATTTAGATCTCACTAATGAACAACCCACCCTTTATAGACACAAAAAAGATAATTTTTTATTCAAAACTTGGATAGTCTGCTATGGTTTCCCATTTCCATGCATTGATTGCAGCTGGTCTCGAAAATACAGCTGTGACACTAAATTCAGAGGCCACAAACTGTATCATAAGGTAGATATTCAGTCAAAAAAGAAAAAGAAAAAAATAACATTCCAGCTGCTACATCCAAGACTTTCGCGCAAAATAGGGAGAGACTCCTGGTTCAATGAGTTTTACGCTGGGCAGCAAAATTAAATGGTGAACCAACATTCCCTCACAGTTACAGTCGGACTTAGATGCCATCCAGTCCTCTGGTCCAGATGAAGGCAGAGCAATTTCTCTAAACTGAGAGAAACATTTGTGCAACATTTCGACCAAAATAGTTCTGGTCTGCACCGCAAAGCGAGAGGGCTGCCTTCATTTGGGCCGATGGGGTTGGCACACGCACAAACGCAGAAACAGACACACTCTGCATTTCACCACTGTCATGTGCAAGCCAAATTCAATGAAATAAGCCCATTCTGCAAGTAGACTGTGACAACGGAAACATCGAGGGGACAAAAAGTTCAAATGGAACAAAGTCCCAAATGTTTTCACACTGACTTCAGATGTCCTGTTCAGAGAGCGCAGGAACGGCGAAATTTCAAGTTCAGATCTATGATTTGAAAACCACATCCACTCTTGCAAAGTTTGAGTTTTAAAGTTTCCTCATCTTGTGGGACAAAGATCAAAGTCAGAAAAGAAACATGACACTGTAAAACTATCAGAAGTTATGGCACAATCACTGAAAAGTTAAATCACACACCTGAAATCCACCGCTAACATTCCCATTGTGTACTTTGTGTTATCACCTCGTAAAGTATTTAAAACGAATGCTCTTACCTGGTGTGTTGTGCTGGATTAACGTCGTTGATCGGTTGTCCAAGAAAACTTTCTCCACCCACCATCAGAAGCGCTAACGACCGAAAATTGTTACTCTCTGTCCGGTTGGGAAAGTGCAGACAGATCGCTGTTTTCAATGGAAGGAGATATCCCGTTCGGGAAGATCCCACAGCAGCACGCTTCACAGTCTGACTTTCACTCCTCGATGTCACACGAAAGTCGTTGTTTGAGTAAAGAAAGAGCAAAAGAACAAAGGAAAAAAGTTGATTTGTGGGAATGTACAGAGGTTTGCGACTGACAGTATCCAGAAGTCCCGACAGAAAAGAGTGGCACTCGCTGCGCTGTGAGCTGTGCTCTCAGCAACAGGTGTCAGAAATAAAGTGAAATTTTTTTCACGGCCATCACAAGTTTCCAAACACTCTCCAACTAATTACGCACGCAGGGAAAGGGGGAGGAGGAGGAGGAGGAGAAGGTGGTGGTGGGGAGGAGGGAAGCAGAGGGGAGGGTGCTCCGCAAAGTTTTTACGCGTCGAGAAACAGAAGGAGAAGTGGAATGAAACAATAGAGCCCAGAGAGCGCGCTCTCTCTCCCTCCTCAACAACTGCGCTTATGTGAAAACTGCCCGCCTGGCCACCGGAGGAGAAAAGGAGACAGAGGCGTAAAAGAGGGAAAGGAGGTCGTTTTACACAGAATGAGAAGGAAAGATTCGCCTCTTTGAGAGTGTTTTTAACCAATGGGTCTCCATTTGGAGTCCATTAAACTCATAGCCTTTAAAACAGGGCTTTTACCCCTGAGTCTGGCCCCTCTCGCTATATTCTTACAAATAAACTTCACTGCAGTGAGTTTATAGGGCGAAAACTGTTGTTGGGTCAGCTATCTGATTGCGTTTCAATTTTAAAGGACTGTGTTTTATCAGACTGTGTGCACAACATTAACGTCACTTCAAATAAAAAATGATTGATCAATCAATGTAAAACACCCGGCTTTTCAAACTCCCGACAGAGTTGAGTGAAAATCAGCTCCCGATCTGTGCAGCGGACTCAAGAGTTTTTGCAGTACCGCAGGTTGTTAATGAAGTCATTTTTTGATGGCACAGGACTCTGGTAATTTTCGATCTTAAATAATTTTTATTTACTAAGAGGCAGGAATAAAGAAAGCACTTCTACAAGTAGAAAACATAGCAGCACGCCAAATCCAGCTTTATCTTACGGGAAAATACATTTAATAGCATAAAAGGTGTTGTGCCGATGTTTATCTGTGTGTTCTTTGTGTAATGTCTCTGCTTATAACGGTAAATAGATTATTATCAACAAACAGCTATATATAAAAGTTATTATACCTGCTTTATAATACAATTAAAAAGTCAATTTTTGGCTACTTGAAATATTTTTCTAGAACTGTTATGTTTGTACAGTTTCTGCTGCCCTCTTGGTCAGATCTTTCTTTAAAAATTTGATATTTTTAACCTTTCAATTACACTCTTTACCTGGGTAAATAAATCCATCCATCCATTTTCTTCCGCTTATCCGGGGCTGGGTTGCGGGGGGCAGCAGCCCAAGCAGAGAAGCCCAGACCTCCTTCTCCCCAGCCACCTCCTCCAGCTTGTCCAGGAGAACACCAAGGCGTTCCCAGGCCAGCCGAGAGATATAATCTCTCCAGCATGTCCTGGGTCTGCCCCGGGGCCGCCTCCCAGTGGGACATGCTCGGAAAACCTCACCCATGAGGTGCCCAAGAGGCACTGTGGAGGAGCAGCGGCTCTACTCCGAGCCCCTCCTGAATGCCCGAACTTCTCACCCATCTCTAATTGGGTGAGAAGAAGGGAGAGGCCAGCCACCCTTCGGAGGAAGCCCAAGAAGAAGATAAATAAAGGTTATACAAAAGTCGCTTTTAACAAACTGATGGCAGCTCCTACAGGAATGTTATTTGTGGCTCAAAATGACCCGATATCAATCATGAAAGATATGTTTGACACATGCTTCACAGATTATAGGCCAACAAGTCATTTACAACAGTTTAAATACAGGCAAACACTTTTTGGCACGGCACTCTGGATACATTGTCATGATTATCCCATTTATACTGCAGACCTAATCTGCTCTGGAGAAGGTTAAGTCTGGAGATGACCAATCAGTTCTCTGGAAAATTGCATCGTAATTACTGGAAGATTAGTCAGACATCTAGTAAGAGGGTAAGTTGGGGTAAGGGTAAATTCTTAGACTATCAGCTTTATTTCTTGATTTTTCCTCCTGGTACCTGCAAACAATTTTACAACTCTCTATTATTCTATATGCCTCAATATATAATCCTAAAACGTGGCTTATGCCGGTGGACCTTCTATCAAATTTTTCAAGCGCATAATTCCATGTTTTAATTTTGTTCTACTTATTCTTTACTTGCTCTCAGACCATTAAACACCACTGGGGTTGCAGATGAAAGAATAAGAATGCAAACTTTATCATGCACATCCAGATATAACCTTAACTCACACGGTCAGCATTTCATGCGGCCTTGTCTCCCTGCTTCAAACAGTATAAACTTCAGTCTTTTTTTGTAAAATCAGCCGCTCTGCTGCCAGTCGACTTATCCATGTCTGTGACTAGTCAGCCGCTGCAACACTGCCCTATTCGTCTGAATGGACTTGCAACTAAACTGATAAACCCTGGGTTAACTTATTCAGGTAATAACCACGTTCATGTGACCAGTCGGCCTGACTGCCAGCATTAGGGTAAGTAAAACGAGTTAACAGAAGAACTTGCTACCCAGTACAGAGCCCAGGACGTCCAAGGTCAAATGTACCAGAGACAAAACAGGTCTTTTATTTTAGCAGATAACAGAATGTCACAGAGCAAAAGCTAGGATAGCCCCTCGACAGGTCAACAGTCCATTATATAGCTGTGCATTAACATACGCCACCTAAAAAGCATGCTACAAGAAGATGTGTGTGTGTCCCTCTAACTCATGGTTCTAATCAACATTCGAAACAGATTCATAGCCCAAAGCAACGTGTGAAACCAGAGGGGTTAGTGAGCAATCTTTAACTTAAAGTCAGAGTTGTCTGTGTCAGGAAAGTGGTTCTCTTATTACCGAGGTAAATCACCATGGTTACTCATACTCAACCTGCTCGGGAGCAGGTTATGTTTCAGTTTAGAGCGCCACATTTTCACTGATTCTTTTATTTACAGCCTGTTTTAAGTGTGCATTGTCGACTGGGGGAAGGTTTATTAATGTTTATTAACAAAATGTTAATTTTATACAAATATATAAAAAAAATATATAAATATATAAATGTTGGATCTAATCTGCTGCTAAGGGTCTCTTATACTGCTGGAATAGTAGAGCACAGATTAGAAACTGGATCAGGATGTATATCACATATATAACTATTCAGTCAATCAAATTAATTTCACTTTGAAGGCAGGAAAGAAAAACTCCCTTTTAACAGGAAGAAACTTTCAGCAGTGTCGGGCTCAGGGAGGGCCGGCCATCTGCTGTGACTTTCTCTGAAGAAAAGCAAAAGGAGAGTTAATTATATCGTTTATCAAAGAGGAAACAGTCTAATCTTTAAAGTAGAGAGGGTGTCTGTGTAACAAATCCAAACTGGAAGCTGGTTCCACAGCAGAGGGGCCTGATATCTGAAGGCTCCGCATCCCATTCTGCTTTTAGAAACTCTAGGAATCGCAAGAAAGTGAGAGTGAAGTGCTCTATTAGGGTAATATAGTACTATGGGGTCTTTAAGATATGATGGGACTGATTATTTAGGACCTTGTATGTCAGGAGAAAGATTTTAAATTGAATTACAGATTTAGCAGGGGTCCAATAAAGAGAGGTCAGTATAAGAGAAATATGAGCTATTTCTTGTCCCTGTTAGTATGCCCACTGCAGCATTTTGGATTAACTGAAGACTTTTCAGGGAATTTTAAAACAACCTGACAATAATGAATTATAATAATGCAGCTTAGTGGTAATGAATGCATCAACTATTTTTTTTTAGCATGGATTACTGACCTATACTAGGCTATGAGACAGTAAGTAAGTAGGTTTAATGATTCAGAGCAGCAGTTATGTTAGAATAAAAGAGCAACATTACAATGTATTAACTCGAACCTGGTTCTGCTGTGTAAGGACCTGCCTTACTGTAGTTGTTTTTCTGACTGCTTCGGTTGTAGGTATACAAGTGAAAAGTGAGGCAACATCAAAGGACACTATGGCTTTGTATGGAGTCAGCATAAGTTTGTGGACTTTGTTGGTGAAGTCAGCGGATGATGTGTCTTCGGAAGTCCATATATACAGGGTGTGGTATTGCCAGGGTAAGAGCCGTACTAAGGTTGTTCCCTTTTAAGTTGTAGCTGTAGTTGTAGTTACTTGTGGGGTCTTCCCATATGAAGACCCCACAAGTAACTATGGTGCACCTCCCCACTGACTGGTAGTCTGGTGATGCTCTGGTCTTTATTTGGGGATGTAATAGGCTCCTTTTCTTGAATGGTGAGGTTGGACTTTTGCACTTTTATTGGACTTTCATTCTGATTTGCTCTGCTTCCGTTTGTGTTAGCTTATTATTTCTTATCACTGTGATGAGATCCATTATGGGCAGCTGTTGTGGAGATATTAGCTCTTTGGCGAGCACGTCCTTTCCACGTTTAGTGAAGTCCGTTCGATCCTGTCTGTCTTTAGCTTTTATTTGCAGTGTTTGTAATTTCCAAAGTTGTCTTTCTTTGCCTTTCATGTACTGTGCCAACTGTGCTTTGTAAAGTACGAGTGTTATGAAACATCTTGAAAGACTTAAAGAAGTCAAGTCGCCTATTTTCATCAAGCTTACGAGTACCTTGACCTGGATGACTAAAAACATAGAAAGACAAGAAAATGCTTAGACATTTTCCATATCACCAGCTGAAGAAACACAAATTTAGTGACAATTTGAGCAGAGTTTGCTGTAACTTTATAGCTGGACATCATTCAAAACATTTTCACGACACAGAAATATCTGACTTTAAGCTTATGATTGCTCCCTAACCCGTTAAATATTGCTTTGTAGTAAAGACCTAAGAGGAGGTCACCAGCTCCAGCTTTTAGATCGAGGAGAGCACAAATTATTTTATTTAACCGACAACCCCGGTAGACCAATAAAACACTAAAATTAAACTCAAAATTCTGAAAACAAGACGTCAGAGTATATTTTAAGAACCTTTACTATTACATATATTTTTTTAAAAAACCCACACATCATAGGTAATACAAGAATTTATACCACTGATTCAAACTCTTCCATCATTATCCAGGTATTTGTTGAAATATATATATATATTTTTTTTAATAATCTAATCATAATTTATTTGTGATTAAGAAAATGACACTGCCCAACAGCATGCTGAACAATGGTGGCTTGGAAGCGATGAGGAAACTTGCCTGATAGACAGAGGGAGTTGGGTCTTG